CCCGAGCCGGTGCCTCAGACTCACTACGAAGGGGTCGTGGACGAAGAGACTTCGAGGAGAAGCGGTTGGCGTAGAGTTGATCCCGCCGATTCCGTGATCCAGACCCAGGCGAGACTGCGAAGGACCTGGAACAAGTACAGCCGTGAACACCTTGACCAGCCCGTGGCGCCCATCATCCTGGACGGCATGTTCAGCCGGCGAAGCGCCCTTCTCTTCCATAGGCGCTGGCAGCGACTCCGTCTAGCAAAATCGTAAGCCACAAGCGTATGTGTGACACCAAAAAAGGGCGACATGCTGACGTTAGATTTCGGATGCAAAGAGTGATGCTCAGACTGGATGGAGGTCGTACGTTTACTGCGTCAGAGCTGAAGCTCATGCGCAAACGCTTCAAGGACTGGGCCAAGATCGCTGAAAGGCTCACCCCCGCAAGTGGCAGTGTGCCGGCATCGCAAGAATTTCAGGCACTCGCTTCAGAAGACTTGGCTCTCTTGCATCGCCTTGAAGACATCCTTCGCCGACATGTTCCTCATATGCTTTCTCACGCCCGTTGACGCGTGCGCACACACCTCATCTGTAACCCTCAGACAACGTCTTGACCCGAAATCCGACTTCTCAGAACCTCCCCAGCGTTCTTGTGCTTCGACTATGCGCTACTGTATGAAGTGCGAACGGTAAATGATGGCTAGCGAGGCACGAGAATGAGCGGATCTCCGGTAGAGGGCCGGAGCTGCCCGTCAGACTAGCCTCTGCGCTTGCATCTGTGCAGATGACCGCAAGTCAGGTAGACCAAAAATTGGCGAAGCTTCGAGGCTGTTACTTCATATAGCTGCGCTTGACAATCAATATCATCTTCGACCAACGAGAAAGAACTGATTGTCGAAGCTCGGTTCTACTTGGCGGGACTCTGACGATGGTCTGCGATACAGTACCTGCGTCGACCGGAAAGCATTAAAAGAGCGTCAAGCAAGCGCGACCCGGAACCACATACGACATCATCATCACCAAGACGCCGTACGAACATGCACCTCCCAGAGCCCTCGTCCCTGCTAGGCCTTATTGTTTGCTGTCTCTGCCTCTTGGCAGCTGTCATTAGGGCCTCTGAGGATCCCGATGGAGTCGACCTTTCTCTGCGGCTCGGGCCTCGCCCCGCAGCAGTTCGATATCCTGAAGGAAACGTCTTCCCAGGACCTTCTGGCTCAAGCGGTCAGCTCAGAGAGGCATCGTCTTCAGGCTTAGCGCGGATGGACCATGATCAGCCAGGACCCTCGACCAGCTCCAGGCGACTCATGCATGGATCGGGGGAGGCCTCTGCCATCGGTGGCGCGGGAACGCACATGGATCGCTGGCCAGTCGAGAGTTCGCGTCAAGTGATCCAGCGACTGGAAGCACACGAGAACTGGGAGGCGTATACGCGCAAGTACCTAGGCAAGCCGGTCGAGCCTTTTGTTCACGACGGAAGGTTCATTCCCCAAAAAGCGATGGAGTTCCAGACGCGCATCGACCTTCTTGTCAATACCAAAAGGTAAGTGCTCCAGGCTATCACTTGCGCATCTTGCAGGGAGTCGACTGACAAATCAATGCTGGGACGTTCGGAAGGGCCTGGGTACGCAGGTATGGTCATTTGATGGGAGATAGGGAGAAGGTGGTCCTACGTCAACCGTTCACGAACTGGCGTAAGATGAGCAGGAGCATCGCAGTCGACGACAGTCTGAGTTTTGGTGTCGCGTCCAATATCGGGTACCGCGCTCATCAAGACCTAGCGCTTCTGCGGAGCAAGGAGGACATCCTTCGCCGAGCTGCCCTCATAGCATCTTAGACCAAGCCTTGGGCAGTCATCGAGTCCGCAGCACTTGAAATTAAGAGCTGTGGCATGCTGTATGTGACCTGCTGATTGAAGGAGTCTGACGATGCGAAGTTGCGGTGTGGTGCTGTTTAAGCGCGCAACACAGGCAGATTATTTTGGTGGTGAACGAATGAATTGAGTAGGGCGAATGTGCATGGTGGTGGCCCTGTCTACAGGGTATGTGCGATCCTGAGTGTCTTGAGTGAGTGGCGATGAGGAAATGCATGCATCGTGCCACTGAGTAGGTGAGTAGCAGCGCCTCCCGGACGCGCGCGGTATGGCGGTGTAGCTGATGCAGGCACCCGGCCGGGCGAGCCGGAGACCCACCAACACTAGTGACCTTTGAATGAGCGGACGGTCATTGAATGTCTAGTCCACGGGTCGAGTGCACCTTTTCGAGCCTTGCTTACCTGCATCACAAACAATAAGACTTGCCGGCAACCTTCATCGCTGTGCGCCGCGTTGAGAGGCGTACAACAAGCGACCTTCACTTGTGGCTCCGTGCATTGCGTCGGATTTGGGCGAGCTCGCCTGCAAAGAAGAGATCGGTTTGTAAACTCGACCTTCAGCCACATGCCTTCAGCCACATGAATGCAAGCTTGCCTGCCTGCGCAAGGCATAAATACCTCTGGAGAAAGCGGTTTGTTTCGTTCCATTGACCAAAGCAAAAGATCATCAGGAGCTTTGCAAAGATGCGTTCCGCCTTTGCTCTTGGTTCATGGGTGGCGGCGCTCGTGCTCGTTTTCCCCTGTGTCGATGCTGCAGGAGGCAACCGTGCCCAATACGACGGGCTCGATCTTAACCTGAGGCTGGGGCCTCCATCAGCTTCATCGAACCGAGTTCTCGACGAAGGCACGACTTCCATTGCACCAGACGGCGATGCCTCGTCGTCCCGGTCGTCAACTGTATCGGACCGCAGCAGAGGCTTCGACCTGAACGATCCATACCACCGCACGTTTTCTAGTGTCGGCTCCTCACAACATCCTGAGCGAGCATTCCAAGGCCAGAGCGCAGCCGTGTCGGCCCAGGGAGGAGGCGTGGACATGGCCAATGCCGCAGTGCAAAGGCACGTGTCTGGAACTTGGCTGCAATACCGACGCGGTCACTTTGGCAAAGAACGCCTGCCCATCATCTCCTCCGACGGCAAGCTCGATCCTCAAGGCGCAATGCAATTCCAGGAGCGCATCCGCGATCTCCAGGCGACCAAGAGGTAAGTCTTGCAGATCCTCGTTCCCGACACTGCTTTTCTCAACAAGTGTTCATCAGATCGAACAGACGATGCTGATACTACAGAATACGAGCTCAGCCTTATTTTGCAGGCGCACAAGTGGCGCTTGACGGAAGAGGAGCTCGTGACGGCACGTCGACGCTTCCACAACTGGCAAGCCATCGCTGTGCGTGTGGCACCCCGGGGCCAGCCGGTCAAAGCCTCGTCCAAGATACGCCAGCAAGCCCTCACGGATACAGAGCTCATGAGCAACATGGAGGCACTCCTTCACCGCATCGTCTCGTAAACGCTCGTAGCGTAGCGTGCAACGTCAGGCGACACTCTGTAGTGACCTTAGCATAGAATCCAATCCGTAGTTAACCGCGCCGCCTCCTAAGCAATCGACACACGCTAAACTGCTTCGTGCTCTTTGCGACGTAGAATCCAAGCCTCGATTGAGCAGTGACCCTTCTGTGGTTCATTGATGAGCTTGCGATCAAAGACGGCGATAGTAGAAGCCGAATATTTGTTGCGGAGATAGGGTTGCGTGCGTCCAGCGCAGCGACCTGCATCCGTTCTAGGGGTTCACTTTTCGAAGCTGGCGAGATAGCTTCCCTTGTCGGCGTCGTTGATGGGACCCGAATGGAACGGTGTAATCGGCAGCACAGCTGCAATGACCATGACCGCAAGCATGATGCGGAGAGAGTATGCGGCGAGACAGCTGATCAACAGCATTGTGAACAAGATGGTGGTCGGAAGCCAAACACGCATCCCACCCTTGCTGCTTGGTTTGACGATGTGCGAGATGAAGCGTGTGGCGCGGACCGCATCAGGCACAGGAACCCACCCTCATCCCCCTCAGTGAATGTCTCGCGCCAACCTCTCAGCACTCATGGACGTGGGCGACTCTGATACTGTTCAGCAGGAAAGAAGGGTGGACGTGATCGACGATGCTAGAATCGGTCAATTGCAGTAACGAACGGTTGACAAAAGAGTGTGGTGCAACAAGTGTGGAGTGCTAAAAGTGAAGACGGCCTTCGAATGCCCTGTGGAGCTGCTTTACCAAGCTTTCCCTCTCTTCGGCGCTGTTGGTTGCATCAGCGACCCGCCTTGCGCCTCTCCAGCTCCTGCTCGTCGACGCTGCCTCTTGCTGGACGGGGGTCTTGACCTTTCCGCGGGTTTTCTCCCTCGTAGGCGGTTTCGCCTTGGCCCCATCGCTCGCCAGGGGCTCTTCGAGACCCGGCCCAAACGCGAGCTTCCTCACATGGTCCAGATGCTGATCCAGATGTCCATTCCTGAACACCTGCACTGCCCGACCCTGGCCAACATGCACAAACGAAGCCCAGTATCGATAGAGCGATTCCTCGAAGAGCCTCCACTCTTCCGGAAGGTTAGCGTACCTCAGCGCGGTAGCGATCTGCGTCTGGCGCAGCAAGCCCTTGAGGTAGACCTGGAGCATCTCCAAATCGAGCAGTTCGGCTTTGGTGGTTCCGTCGCGTGCGATCTCGACCTCGGTCGACTGCGCTAGCATGTTGATCGCTCGGATCAGCCGCTGTTCCTTGAGCCACACGTCGAATGGAGGTGGATGCGGGTAGAGTCGCAGCGGATAGCGACGAGGAACGTCTTCGATGTAGTGCGCTCGGAGGTACGATTCGGTCCAGAAGCCCTCGGGCCCCAGGACGGAGTAGGCATGGCTGGTGCGGAAGCGCGTGTCGAAGCCAGAGCGTGCATTGGGTGGGAAGTCGGTGGGAAGCAGCTCGGCACTGCGGTACAGGTCTTCCCTGCCAGCAGGGGGCTGCACGACAGGCGTGAGACGTGGAGAACCAGCCACGGCAAAGCTGGTGGCTAGTAGGAGTGCGGAGAGCAGCTGGAAGATGTACATGGTGACCGCAACACGAAGAGGTGGTGTTGGCGTAAAGACAAGGAGCGAGACGAAGAGTGCAGCGTACTTGTCGGAGCTTGGGTCGCTGGTGGAAGACGCAGCACCAGACCTTTTCCCAGCCAAGTGGGTCGGTCGAGATGAAGCGGCACATGACCTTGGTGAAGGTGGGCTGATTGGGCGCGAAGCGCAACCGGCTTCATTCTGCCCACGTCCGGCCGTGCATCCTGATCATCGTACATCATCGTCCCACCATCATACTAGAGCAAGTAAGCGAAAAACTTCGACGTTATGGTCGCTTTCGTGGAGGATGGTTGCGGGTACCCGCGTATATGCGGCGTTTGGGCGCACTTGGACAGGCGGTCGCCGCACGTACGAGGCGTATCGCGAATTTGTGCGCGGTTGGCAAGTTGCCGGTCTCGGCAGGGCCGACGGTGTATGCAGGCTGTACGTCAGCCGGGCTTTGTGCACGCGCCTCGGCTCGGGGCTCCAACTTCCGACTGATGCCCGCCTCTTCTTGTCCCTCCATCCATCTCTGTATCTCTTATCTTCATCCATCCTCCCAGCACGAGTTACATGCTGCGCTCGGCCTAGATTTCCGGCATGAAGACCGCTTCGGGTCACTACGACTACCTCGCCCTCGGGACGTGGTCGTTCTACACGCCTACACCGTTGCCGCATCTAGAGCAGCGTCTGTTCCCACCACGCGATGCACGCACACTCGCAAGCACCCGTCGCGCGCGCTTCATCACACTGCTGCGCGTGGGGTATGTGCTGGCCGTGGTGATCCCCGTGCATGTGGTGGCTGCGCTGTGCTCGCATGCACTCGTACCCAAGTCGCAGTGGCAGCAGAAGGGATGGGGCCGAGGGAGGTTTCCAACACGGCTGCCCGGATGGGGCGTGGGACAGACGCTGTGTGTCCCCCTGATCGGCAGCTTGTTCTGGGCACTCGTGTACGGTACACCGAGGGGGATGGGGTGGGAGGAAGAACGCACGATGCCTGCGGCGAGCAAGTGGCTCTTCGGCAGAGGTCACGAGGGGTGGTGCATCGAAGCCGAAGCTGTCGTCCTGCCTCCGTTGCCCACCTCGGCCACCACTCCGCACGAGATGAATGGCCACGCAGCTGCAAACGGTGTTCGTAAGCGCCATGCAAACGGGAACGGTGTCGACCAGTTAGCGGATGCGACGTCTCTGCGCACGAGCGAGGCGCTCTCGACCGCCGCACCCGCAACATCATACGATGCATCCAAAGAGGCGATTCCGACCGACATCCTCACGGGCGACGTCGCCGGCACCAAGGTCGGCGTGCACCCCACGCAGGTCGCTGCGTTCTGGCAGTGGAAGTCGGTCGCCGCCGCCGTGTCGCGCGGCAAAGTGATCTCGGTCAAGCCGGGCAACGACGTCGCTGGGATCGGGTCGGGCAAGGCGGCGTCGCCGTCCGAGCGCATGGTGATGTTCTTCGTCGGCGGCGGCTACCACTCTGGCCACGCGCCGCAAGGTCCCTTGAGCTGGACCGTGTGCAGGCAGACCTCGCTGCGCGTGCTCGGCGTCAACTTTCGCAAGGCCACCAGCGACGCACGTGCGTTCCCGGCGGCGCTGCAAGACGCACTGGCCGCCTGGGTCTATGTCACCAAGCGCCTTGGCTTCCAACCTCACAATGTCATCCTTATGGGCGACTCGGCTGGAGGTGGGCTTGCGATGGCCCTGCAGCTCTACCTCAGCGCGCGGGTGTGGGCGAAGCACGACGAGCCGCAAGAGGGGTCGTTGGGCCGCGCGCGCAAACTCGTCTTACACAGTCCCATGGTGGACTTGACCCTGGGCACGCAGGCGTTTACCGCGAATCGAGGCGTGGATATCATCTCGCCCTACATGTGCAGTCTGGCGCGCGACAACTACCTGCGCCACTTCATCCCCCTCCCCAACCGCCCCTCCCCCACATCCAACGTCGGCGAGTGCAACATCGCCGCCGTGGCGCAGCGATACGACTTGGACCCCAGCATTGCGCCCGATCAGCGTGGCGACGGGTGGAATGCCGAGTTGGCCCGACTCGGTGCAGAGCTCAGCGCCACCGTGGCCGAGTTAGGTGCCTTCCACCCGCTCTTTTCGCCAGGACTGGATGCAAGAGCCAACGCGTATCTCGCCAAGACGCTGCTGTTGCTCACCCCCACCCCCCGTGGCGAAGATGAGCTGCAGGTGCTTGTCACCGCAGGCACCGCCGAGATCTTCCGCGACCAGATCCGACTGTTCGCGCAAAACCTGCGCGACCTCGAGTGCGAGGCCGTCCAACTCAGCCTCGTCGAGTGCATCGACTGGCACCACGTCTTTGCGTTTATGAACCTCCCCGGCACCGTCAAGGCGCAAGTCGACGAGGTGGCCAAGAACTTTATGCTCGCCTAGAAACGCGGCGACCCCTAGAAGCATCGGAGAGATACCCGTACGGAAAACGATGCCATTTATATTCAGCCCCAGTGTGTGTAGGGGGAGGTCTATGCTGTGCGGGATTGGTCCTTGACGACCACACTGAAAAGCAAGGTAGGATGGATGAGCAAAGTGGAGCACAGGAGTAGGGGTTGAAGGCATACTTACTGGAAATGGCTGAGGCCTGGAACGGTGCGCAGGCTGGGCGGGTTGCAGAACCACGCGGTCTGGAATCGCGAAGGAGGCCACTTTGCCTCGATGTACTGCGTCACATGTCTGGACGCCCATGCATGCGCCTGACTCACAAGCTCCCTGGTGAGCCTTCCCGCCGGTGGCTGATTGTGCAGCTTGGCCTGGGAATGCGATCCGAGCACCTCGGGAATCTCCTTACTCCCCCATGTGTACGTTGGATTCGTCGGCGTGTTGGGTACAAATCCCGTGAACCCTCGGATGCCGTCTCCCGTAACGCAGTCGTACAACTCGTCTCTCAACGCCTCCTCAAACGGCGAGTCGGTGAAGAGTGACGGATGCAAGATGGGCAGTTTCGACCACACGACCCAATGCGACGCCCCCGCAGGGATCCCGTACGGCCAATCGTTCGGAATGGTCTTGACGAGGCTCGACTCGGTATCCGATTCCGCATCGGCGACAAAGTGGCGCAACACAATACCTGCACGGTTCGGATGCGGTAGAACCTTTTCTGGCCACGTTTCCTTGACCGCCTCCCTCGGCAGCAACGTTCCGTTGGGCGTCTGCACCCCGGATCCCGACGGCGTCGATGTGCCGGAGGACAGGATGGAGGTGGGATCCTTCTGCGGCCGGTCGAGCATGTTGGGTGGTGCCGGGCCTGTGCGTTCTTCCGTGGGCCAACCGAGCCGCACGTGGCGGATGTAGTTCTCGAGCCCATCGTACTTGGCGCGCACGGCGGGGGCAAAGGCGCGGTAGGCGGTGTCGCAGACGGGATCGCGGAAGAGCTGGTCCAGATCACCGTGCGAGAGCACATCCACCACATACTGCCACGTCATAAACCGGTCGCTCGAGCCAGGATCCGGGTTGGGAAAGTACGAGCCAGGCGTGCGGTCGTCGACGTACTCCGGCAGGTGCCGCGCCACCATCACGTCGGCGCTCGAAGATGACGCCGCCATGATTGCTGATCAGAAAGGTGGTGGTGGTGCGGAATGTAGTTCGAGTCGAGAATTGCTCCGAAGACGCGCGTGCACGCGCCACCCGCGTATCTCCCTCCCTCTCAGCCCTTCCCCAGCCATCTCTCACCCTCATACCCGAGCGCACAACCACCCAACCCTCACCTCAGACCACAAGCGCAGCCACACCCACTCCGAAACTGGCAACGATAGTGATGAAATTCTAGCAAACCAAGCAGGACCGCGTACATACGCGCGAGTACCCGCGACGAACCAAGAAGACGAAAGCATGTGTGGGGGTGTGAAGCGAGTGCAAACAATGCGGGTATTGGCTACTGCGCCACTCTAACCTTTCCATGCGGCAAATGCGGATGCGAATGCAGGGGGGGTTGATACGACATTTTAAGCCTGGCTCTTGATGATCGAGGCGGCGTACTCGGCGACACCGTAGATGGTGGCCTGGATGTGCGCGGCGACGTGGAGGGGCATGATGGAGGCATCGACGACACGCAGGTTGGTGGTGCCGTACACGCGCAGGCTGGGGTCAACCACACCGCCCTGGTTGCGGGGCAGCATGGATGCAGTGCCGATGGGGTGGTACTCGGTGACCGAGGTGGTCTTGGTGTAGTTCTGCAGGTCGACGTTGCCGGGCCAGTACTCGCCGACAACCATGTCGCTGTAGGCCTTGCTCAGACCCACCTTGCGCGTGTAGGCGGTACCGGCGGTGGAGAGCTCGGTGTCGAAGGGCACCGAGAAGTACTTGGGGTCGATGAGCGGGTACTTGGTCGGGTCGGACGACTGGATGTGCACGTTACCGCGCGAGAAGAGGTGCTGGTTGGCCGCGAGGATGGTGAAGTAGGTCTCGGTGGGCTTGGGCGCACCGGTGCCGGCAAAGTAGCCGTCGATGCCGATGAGCTCCATCTGACCGACCTTGTCCGGGTAGTTGTTGAGGAAGTCGAGCTGCTTGTTGAGCGTCGCCTTGTAAGGGGCGCGCGACGACTGCACGTACTGCGTCACCTCGTTGATCATCGCCTTGGCACGGTCGGCACCCACGACGCGCGCGAGCGAGACGTACGAGATCGAGGGCACGGTCTCGGTGAAGATGGAGGTCTGGTTGGCCTTGTACGCAGCCAGCTGCTCGGCAGCGAAGGTGGAGTCGGAGCGGAGCGAGTCGAGCGTCTTGAAGCCGGACTTGAGGTTGTACACGGTGGCCGAGTAGGTGTGGTCCTGGAGGTTCTCACCCACGTTGGCGTTCTCGTAGAGCACCTTGACGCCGGCCTTGCCAAGGACGTCCTTGGAGCCGATACCGGAGAGCTCGAGGAGCTGAGGGGTGTTGACGGTACCAGCCGAGATGATGACCTCCTTGGTGGCGTTGACGGTGTACGACTTGCCGCCGTTGGTGAAGGTGACGCTCTTGGCCCAGAGCTCGCCGCAGCTGGAGTCGAAGTTGACCTTGGAGGCGAGGGCGTTGGTGAGGACGTCGAGGTTGGAGCGCGCCTGGTTGGGGAAGAGGTAGGCGGGGGCCGAGTAGGAGCGGGTGTAGTTGGTGGGGTTGATGTCCGAGGGCTGCTGGGAGACGCCGACGTTCTCACCGGCGAGGGGCTGGTCGTTCTTGGGGATGCCGAGCTCGAGGAGCGCGGGGATCCAGCGACGGACCTGCTGGGAGATGTAGTTGGGGAAGGCGACCTGGATGGGGCCGGAGGAGCCGTAGTCGGAGGCGACGGGCTTGACGCCGAGCAGGTCTGCGTTCTCTTGCGAAGGGGCGTGGAAGCGCTCGGACTTCTTCATGGCCTTGTAGAGGTTGTTCCAGTTCCAGCCGGGGTTGCCGAGCTGCTCCCAGGCGTCGATCTCGTAGCGCGAAGAGCGGTCCCAGACGAGGAAGTTGAGCGCCGAGGAGCCGCCGAGGACGCGGCCACGGGGCCAGCCGCTGGAGGGGACGCCGTTGGCGGGGTTGGCGACGGTGGTGTAGTTCCAGTCGTACTGGGTGCCCAAGTCGGCGCCGAACTGGCCGGGGGTGTCGATGATGCCGACGCCGTAGCCGCTGCCACCGGCCTCGAGCACGCCGACCTTGTACTTGCCGTTCTCGGAGAGACGAGCGGCGAGGGCGAGACCGGCGGTGCCTGCGCCGACGACGACGTAGTCGTACTGCTTGGAGACGAACTTGGCGGCGTCGTTGGTGATGGCGCGCGAGGCGAGGTGCGAGTTCTCGGCCATGCGAGCGGCCATCTCGCTACGGGGGCTGACCTTGGTCCATGCGACGGGGGTGGCGGCGACGGAGCCAGCCAGCGCGGCGGCGGCGATGATGGTGGTGGCCTTCATTCTGATGATTGGGTCCTACTCCAGACAAATTCCGAGAGGAAAGGGAAGGGAGGAAGGAAGGAAGGAGGAGGGGATGATGATGGAGGAAAGGATGGATGAGGAGACCGAGTCGAGAGGGAAAGGGAGGGGGGCTACGAAGCGAGGGATGACCCAGAAGTAGGGATATAAGGAGAACGACAGGACTCTGTGGCTTTGTGAGCGGGCGAGGCGAGAGAGGCGTCGTCGAGTGGCGGCGGCGGCGGCGAGGGCGGTAAAGCTGCGGACGTGGGCGGGGCGAAGCGCAAGCGAGCGAATGGGGGATCAGAGGAGTGAGACACGAGAGGGTCCGAGGGTTCAAGCAGAAGGACGGAGCAGGCAACGCAGAAGAGACCGAAGCGGATGTTGAACGGACGGACGGTGGCGAAGGAAGCAGAGGATCGCCCTTGGAGGCTTGGTTCGGAAGAGGCGGAGCTTGGCAGTGCGAGAGGCGGCGAGGTGGCACAGTACAGCACAATGGTGCCTGTGTGTGTTTGCCGTGCTTGCATCCGCGGACGTTGAATGGACGCACCGGCGAGTGCGGGCCGTGTTGATGAGAAGGCCTTGGTGGTGCCGATGCGGTGCACACGGTACTGTAATGGTGCTGCGGCGCGGTTGAATACGCAACGGCCAACAGCGCTCCGGTTCATTCTGCATCCCCAAAGCGACGAGGCCGCATCCAATTCTGGCCAGAGCAAAACAACAGCAGCGGCGGAGCAGAGCGAACCTCGCCACCCAAAGCCATGATGGCCTCGGCAGAGGGCCAATGTGAAGGCCAAGGCAGACGACGCGGCGTAGAGTGCGATGCAATGCACACCACCGGCTTGGAAGCGAGCCCAGAACTGCATGAGCTGCGTCCTCTCTCTCTTCTCTGTCTGTCTCGAGGATGCACGCTGCAATGCACGGCTGCGCCCAGAACATTACCTGTCGACTGTCACTCGAAGACCGCTGCGTCTTTACGCGGCAAAAACGTGGGTGCATTTCGCACTCCGTTGGGTCGATGGGAAGGCAACAAAAAAGCAAACACGCCACACACACTCTCTTCCTGCCAGTAGAGTCGAGTCGAGTTGAGGCATGCCTGGCCGTCGTTGTGCCTCCGTCGGCCCCTCCGTCCGCACCTCGTGGGAGGAAAAGACTCGAGAAGCATTCCGCAGCATCCCGCCGCAGTGGGTTGTGCCGGCCAAGTTCACACGTCGCTCGGGCCTGGCCGCCGTCATGCTTGCACGTAGGGTCGCGACCGCACAACGCGACAGTGTGAGACATTCACCGAAACCTCGACCCTGGTCTGCCCCCTCCCCCCCAATCCAACCTTTGCTTCTGCTTTGGCCCCTTCATTTGCCCCAAAACAGCGGTAACTTCAATCGTTGGGATTCAGCGACGGATGTTGTTGTGATTGGATCACCGAGCGCAAGTGCATCATGCAGCTCCAGCATGGTGGGCGCACCAAGTGGCGGAGGCGGAGGCGGCTCGGTACGGCAGGCACGCTGCAGTCGCAAACCTGTGCTGCACTGTGGCAAACGAGCCCAAGCGGCTGCCAAAACAAGGCCGTTCAAAAAAAGTTTCGCGCCTCGTCGCTCACCTCGGCCTCGCTTAGTGCAGCGCATGTCGAGCCGCGCATCAAGCGAGGTGGCTGCGAAGGCTTCTTTTTCGGATCTGGCGCTCTAGCGGCCCTCGAGCCTCTCGTTTCGCACCCCCCGGCCGCGATGGGAAAATCGTCTGGAAGAAAAAATGAAATGAAAAATTTATAATAAACGCCAATTGGGTGGGATTTGGATGCCCGATGCAGTCAAGCTGGGCGCAACTCGAGTGTGGTGGGCAGTCGATTTTAGGGCGCAGAAAGCATGAAATTCAGCCTTTGGCAGCGTCGTTCGTCTGTGCGCGAAGGAGGGGATTTCCAGGGTGGCGCACTTGACATGCCAGATCCGTGCCCCGCTAGCTGCTCCGCCGACAAGATTGCGCAACGCCGATCCCACGCAGCCGTGCCTGTACGAGAATTCCGTCTTTTTCTTTGCGTTTTTGCCCCGCCCTCTTCTTGCTCTTCTCGCGCGGGCAAATGGCTCTGAGCTGCAATTCAATTCGTGATGATCCTCCTGCCCGTTCCCGGTAGGATCGGCAAGGCCGGTTGCCAACGATTGCAAGTGGACATGTGTGGCTTGAGTCAAACGCAAATCGTCCAACGTGGCTTGGGATACTTTTCGGGCGAGGGCAGCTTCGGGTGAACGTTGACCGCCGAGCGCAAGACTGGCGGCGCCTCGACGCCTACGAGACACTGGTGCAGCAGAGTGTGGGAATCCCCGTCGAACGTTCAACGCGCGCTCGACAATAGGCCCGCAGCAACGGCCAACCTTAAAAAAAATCGCACGCCACTATGCCCACTCTGCTGTTCAGTTTCTCTCTCTCTTGATTCGTTGCGGCTCCTAGTTGCGAACCGATCGCAATCTGTCCAAGTGAAAGCCGATGCGATTGCAAACTGATGATAGCCAGAGGCACGAGATATGGGATCGTCCTTTTGGCAGTGCGGCCATTGCGGAAAAGAGGTGAGACACCTCGGACCATTGTTCCCCGCCTCGTACCCGTCGAGCCTGAAGCACAACACTAGAACAGACGCACCCGCCTGCACACATCCACTCGCCAACGCACCTCCCGATCTGGGTCTACAGGTACGACACCGTACCTGCGCCTTCGCACAGTTCACCATGCATGGACCCACGCTTGTCTCTGAGCTGTGCAGCCTGCACCTTGCTCTTTGCGTCCAGCCTTCGGACTTACGGACATACTGTAGCTGATGTAGTCTTGAGTGGTCACTGGGGAAACGTCCGCTTTTGGCTTGGATTTTCGGCTACAGAGTAGAGAGACCTTGAGTTTAGGCGACCAAAACCCGCCCCAGCTAAACGTCGAGGCGAGGCCAACCCCTGACAGAAGTCTGTTGATTTAGCGCCCTTCACTCAGCTCACGCTGCTCGGATGGCGAGTTCACATGGTGCGCATGATCGCCGAGCCGGTATCAAGTAGCGTCATCCATAGAAGTTGGAAGCGCTGCACTTGGGCGTACACAACCGTTGGTGGCTTTTTGCGATTCGCCTTCCATTCGGTCCCGCTCGCCGCTCGCATGGGCTTTTGCTTCCGTCTCTTCCTTTGCCCTTAAAGCGGAGAACGGTAGAAGCGCCGCTGTTGATTTTATCTCAAAATGTTACGCTCTCGTATCAAACAAATTGCCGAAATCAAGGTGTTACGCCCTCGAACGTTACACTTTGTAGCTTTTTTTCGCGAACTGCCTCTTTCGGCCGCACTGCGCTGCGCTGCTGCTCGCTAAGCTCATGCGGAGCCCCTAAATGCGCGTCGGTGGCAGCTGTCCACCTCTGCTTCCCTCCTCTCATCGTCTTCTTTTTCTTGTTGGGCTTGGACCCTGAAAGTAGAATCCACTCAGGGGCTGCTTTCACTCTCCGGCGCATCACCCTGCAGCAGCCTCCTCCTCCTCGCTCAGTCTTCCGCACATCATAGCCCGCGCCTCGCTCTGCACTCCCGCTCATGCTAGGCTGACGATATGCAGCGCACTGACAGTGGAAGCAGTCGCTCCGTGCTCTCGAACGCGGCGCAGGATCATAGTGTGACAGGTGGGAGATGCTGCTCGAAATGAGGACTAAAGGAGGTGGGCGTTGAGCCCAACGCCATCCGCAGACCGTTGCAAGCTAGCGTAGATGCACACCAACACCGCGGCGCTTTTGTCTGTGCAAATCGGGCGCCGCCTGGATTCCGTGTCTGTGCTCCGACGACTCCTATTCTCCGCCTCCTTGCCTTGTCGAGCTGTCTAGCCGCCCCCTCCCCTCCTCAGGAACCGCTTTCTTCGGCGCAGCAGCGAGTCTTGGCAACAAGCAAGACAATGCCTCCACCTGCTCATCGTCCCCTCCCTTCCATCTCGTCCTTCGACGTTACTTCCTTTCTTTCTCTCCGCACCATCTTGCATGGCTCGCTGATCTTCTTCATCACCATCATGTCGGTCCCATGGCAACGCTGACCTCTAACGACATCGACCTCGCCCTCGACATCCGTGCGCACAGCTGCTGTCGCTCCTAGGAGCCGACGGCTAGCCTAACGGAATCGCCCATCATGGTCAACATGACATGCCCCACCATCCCGGACAAGCCTGCCGATCCCAAGCCCTTCTTCGAAAATGGACAGATCGACTTCAAGGCGCACGACGTCGGCTGGCTCGTGTGCGGCATCATGGCGCTCATCGCCACCATCTCGTCCGCCTGGCTCATCTGGAAGCACCTCACCTACTACACCTGTCCGCAGCAGCAGCGCCACATCGTGCGCCTCCTCATCATGGTGCCCATCTACGCCATCGTCTCCTTCATGTCGTACCTCTTCTACCACGAGGCGCTCTACTACCAGACCATCCGCGACTGCTACGAGGCCGTGCTCGTCACCTCCTTCTTCTACCTCATCCTGGCCTACACCGGTGACACGCGCGCAGAGCAGCACGCCGTATTCCGCAACATCGATCTCGGCGATCGCTTCTGGGTGTGGCCGTTTGGCTCGTGGAAGTACCGCCCGGACGGCCTCCACTTCCTCTGGCTCATGAAGATCTGGGTGCTTCAGTACGCCATCGTCCGGCCCCTCTGCACCTTTATCGCCGTCGGTACAGAGTACTTTGGCTACTACTGCCTCCACAGCTGGATGCCGTGGTTCACGCACGTTTGGTGCGCCTTCTTTATCAGCATCTCGGTGAGTGTGGCCATGTACTGCCTCATCCAGCTCTACATGCCCGTGCGCAAGCTCGTCGACCCCTACAAGCCCATCCTCAAGTTCCTCTCGATCAAGACCATCGTCTTCCTCACCTTTTGGCAGGACACGCTGCTCTCGTTCCTCGTCAGCTTTGGCGCCATCAAGGAGTCCGAGTACTTCACCGCCGAGCAGATCCAGGCGGGCATCAATGCGCTCCTCCAGTGCTTCTGGATGCTCCTCTTTGGCTTTATCCACATC